CGCTGATACAATTCCCAAATAAAGATACATAATAGTCGACTTGGATCAGTTCGCTAAGGAGATAAAACGACTGACTGTACCCAACCTGCATAAGACGGAACGGACTCGGATTTGCGTTAACGGAGGTATGAATAAGATGAAACGAAGATGCTGACGACGACAAATGACGAGTAAGGAACCCGACTGCTAAGTGAGGTTGGTGTTTTAGGGTGGAGATTCCATTAAAAGTCAGAATACGCGCTACCGTCGTAGCGGTCCGCTAAAAATTACCAACCGTTATCTGGCTCCGGGATCTCTGCGTTTGGTTAATGCAAATCTGGAGAAGTCTCGATCTCGGGGAAAGGGTCTCTTTTGAGGATTTCACAACTACGGATCTAGGAAACGATTCGACATTACCTTTTAAATTATTTTTAGAATTTTACTTTATTTTCTTCTGTAATAGGGTACCATATTTTTTCTTTACTGTTTAAACCTGATTTAAAAGCATTTTTCCTCTTTAGTTTCAATCCGGTGTGGAATGAAGTATTCAAATTCGAACTGCGAAGTCCGGAAACGGCGATGCTGCGTCTGTGCGTCAAAGATTATGACACAACCTCCGCGAATGACTTCATTGGTGAATTCTCGCTACCAGTGACTAGTATTCGACCTGGTATGTCGTCACTTTTCCCTAATTTACAGTTACCTTCATTTCTTACAAAGAATTTTAATTCTGTAGACTTGATGGCCAAATAAGATTTGTTTGCTATTTCATTTACTTTGACCAAAGTAGATGCTTCTGCTGTATAGATTATTTTAAAAAACGCCTCATTCCTCTTTCTTCCTCTTCATCTCCTCCGGAGCTCCCTTTTTTCGCCGCCCTTCATTCCTTCTTCTAAACCTTTGTTTGCTACCACCCTATGCAAGAAATCATTTTTCATCCAGTGAATTCAAAGAAACACAAATTCAAATCCCCCAGCCAGTTTTTATAGTAGTTGGCTAATTCTTAGCTTACTTAAAGAAACTTTTGTGTTTCTTCATAAAAATTTTACGATCCGCTAAATTATAAAGTACTTTCCATACCTCTCAGTTCTTTACATTTTTTTGCTCTACCTAGTTACCTTTTCATGCATAAATGAAAAGACCCAGGCTGGAACGCACCAGGTCTGTCGGTGCGATCATGCGTTTTTGCACTAAACTCTCAGGTCGCTAATAGCGGGAATAGTCCCTGCGCTTTAGCCTTACACTTGGGTTTATAGTGATCATGCTTTGGTCCCTTCCGACATGCAGGAGGAAGGGCGTCGGTTGGGATGAAAGTGGTGCATTATTGAGCCGCACGGATTTCCAGGTACGTAATTATCAGTTTTTTGCATGAAGTCCGGTCGTTTTAATGCATTTTTGCCTATATGCAAATTGCAAAAACACATATTGCGACGACCCTTTCTCTGTGTGTATGTTCGCGTATGTGTGTGTGTGTGTATGTATATGTGTGTGTGTGTGCGTGTGTGTGTGTGTGTTCGTCCGTCCGGGCATTTCAACTCGGCAACCAAGCAAGTTCCAGCGCTGAGACTTTGCTAATGGGTACCCCGGAACCGCGGTACCTTCCCTCCCGCACGCCTGGGCTCCGCGTACGAGAGGGTGAAAGTTTTGGCGGGAAAATTTATAACTCGGGAACGAGAAACGATTGAAGGCTGTAATTTTGAGGTTATGTTCCCCGTCCAAATATAACTCAAAGATTTCAAATTCAGCCCCCAGGTTTGCGTGGATCTCGTGCGCGGCCCGGTGAAATTTTTTGGCGGGAAAATGGCTAACTCGGGAACTAGCAAAGCTGGGAGGCTGAAATTTTTAGGAAATATTCTCAGCCCAAGTACGACTTGAAATTGTCAAATTCAGCCTCCAGGCATGAGCGGTTCTAACGTACAGCC